TATCTATCTATCTATCTATCTATCTATCTATCTATCTATCTATCTATCTATCTATCTAATATATTTACCCTCCCATTGATATTGTGAAGAAAAACAAAATTATGAAACTATCTCTTTATGATTTGGTATATTTATAGCTGGATTTCCTAACCCAAATTCAGAAAACTCTTTCAATCCAAAATATTGTCTAAAATTGACACTGGTGAAGCAAGAAGTTGGATGAGATAATATAAACTTCATTAATAAGATTTGTTTTTAAACTTTGCTTGCTGCATTAAATAAATACCTCCATTCCCGGGGCCTCAACAATATTTCCAAATTAATACACTGAAACTTGCATTCATTTTTATCAATTTACACTGTATATAATTGTTAAAAAAATAACTAACTAATGTACGCTGGGAGGGAAATGGATTGGAGTGTAATCACTCATGTGTAAATGCAAGTAACACTTCTTTAATATGCTTTTTGGCATAATGAAGAACACGCTGTGCATCTGCCTGGCTCACCTCAAATCCTGCATCACATTACCATTACAAACATTAGTTAAAATATAACAGCCATTTACAATTTTAAACCTTTGGAGAATTGTCAAACATGAAATGATTAAATCAGTGCTGGATGTGCTATGAGAGTAAAACACCATCCCTCTTTATTTCTTGTGTAAAACAGATATAAGGGTGGGGGGGTGTGAATGAAGCTACTATAGTGGCTTTCAGACTTTCCTAACTTTAAGCAATCCTTTTCCAGAATACTTCATCTGACCCGAAATGGCAGAGTAAATTTATATGGGAGCTCACTCCAAACTCGGCATATGGGGAACGGTCAAGCTGCAAATAAAGAAATCCCCAAGGAGAACAAAATCAATACCAACCCTCATAGAATATGCAAAGCTTTCTTTGTTGGAAACTACATTTGCCAGGAAACTGTAGTTCAGAGCTGGGATATTTGATTTAAATGCTGACAAGCTCATATTTAATCCCTGTGGCCTCCAGTTTAAACAAATCTCGGGCAGCAGATGCAAAAAACCTTGGATTCAAGTCCCAAGACCTGTTGCCAGACAGATCTATTGACCTAGATCCATGATGGCAAACCTATGGCACATGTGCAGAGACGGCATGCACAGCCCTCTCCGAGGGCACGTGCACCATCGCCTGCTGCTCTTCTGGTTTCTGGCCAGCTGGTCTGCATGGGCACNAAATATAAAAATAAAATTTAGAGAAAAACCCAGTATGTACATATATACACAGATTCCTTTAGTTCAAATCCATTACATTCAACTTTACTTTCTGGAAAATAGGTGTATAAAATGTTTTTATTTTTTATACTTCCAACTGTAATATTTTTATCAATGCAGTCATTCATTTTTTAAATTCTCATATTATATGTAAATTACAAAAGTGTGTATAATGTTTCACTTAAAAATAAAGTCTAGTTTTCTACTTAGTACAGAAAGATAATATAATGTATAATTTCTGCAAAACTTTTATTTGCAATCTGTAAATTTAAAATACTGCTTTCTGCTTTTTACTATGCCATTTGATTGCTAGAGTGTTGCATAAATTACATCTATTGCTCGTAGGCTCACTCATATCCAGACATTCTAATATTAAATATTTAATTTATTGCCAGATATTTTTGTGAAATGTTATATGTAGGAAGGATTTTCCATTTCCATGTGATAAAGCACTGCTTTATCATATGACTGTATGATTGATTTTTATCTTTACTGCTTAAAAAAAAACAGGACAGGGAATTCAGTGCCTTGTAGATATGTAACCTACTTCATATCTGTCTAGAAATTTGTATTACGTTAATGGCACTGACTGATTAACTGAAATAATAGGATGCACTAAAAAAGAAAACATTTTATTTCAAGCTTAAAAACAAGCCCACTGAGAATTTTTCACTGAAATATTTCTGATAATTTGCTTTCTACCCTAATGATTCTAGTCTCCTGTGTTTTGATGGGGAAAAAATGAAAGATTTAAGTATAGAAAACAATAGGAACTCCAAAATCAAACAAACAAGAAATCATCCTTTTCCGCTTCATTTTTGTCCCAAGTTCACAAGAGTAAAGTGAGTTGACATTCCATGCTGACTGAGGCATGAAATCGTTTTTTCCAAATTTGTTAAAACCCGTGTAGGAAACAATTATTTCCACTTGCATGTTACTTTTTGTTCCTGCATGAATAACAAACTCCTACCTTTGTTTAACTGCTGTGAAATATAGATTCGTGCTGTTTGCAAATGCTTTCTTCCTAATAATTGAGACTTGATTTTTTTGTTCCTTTTTTTGAAAGCGGTAATTTGCATACCTGGCAGGCATAAAGCTAAAAACAGTATTTATCTGTCAGTGCAAATGCAACTAAACATAACCTGCATTGGCTTTTCAACTCTAATTATGTGTTTAGTAACCGTTTCTTTTGCCAACATCTTCCCACATTATCCCTTCTAATCTCGGTCTATAATAATGGAACAGAAAACGTCTATGCAATTAAATAGGCTCTACTGATTTAAACAAACAAACAAAAATAGATTAAGCCATGACATCTAGATCTAGATCTAGAGCCTCAAAAGGAGGGCCTCAAAACCTGCTTCAAATTTAAAGTTGTCTTCTGAATATTGAAATATTTTATATAATCCTCAGTGGGAAAATTTGAAATACTTTAACCCCAGCCTCGTATTTGTATAACTAACTATTAGGAATCTACATTGTGATACAGTCAGAGAAGTATCTTTAAGCCATATATTTCCAATAATAATCAGTCCAGTTATCTTCATAGTTGAGAAACCAAAGACCAAAATACAGAGTTATAACAATCAGTCTGGATCCCTCGTGAGTTGGAAGTTGGGCTGGATTTTTTTTACAGCCTTATTATCATGTCCCTGTTCATTAGGGATATGCAAAAAATGAAGTGATCCAGACCATACAAAAATAAATAATGCCATGTGTGATAAAAGTTATGTGATCATGTCTAGTCTTCCTTACTATTAGCAAAATTCAAATAGTGCTTTCAACAGATACAACCTTTCAATGGGTAAGAATTATTTTAGGAGGTTAACCACCAAAAAGAAGCTTTTACACAGATTTCTTTCTAAAGGCCATTAAAAGGATTCTGACATAGCTAAACCTCTTAATGATTTTAAAAATAAATGTCTATATATCATATTTTTGTTGCTATGGCTCTGAGAAGCTAGCACAAATAACATTTCTATAAAACTATTTCTATATAAATGTTTACAAAAGAAAATCTGTTCTAAAATCTAAACATAATGCTAAACCATTATTCTGAAGAAATACTGTTAATACACAAAATCTCTTCCCTCCCAAAATAAAAGTATATTCACTTTTTAAGATGTTCAATGTACATTACTTGCCTTTAGTTGCCAGTTTTCTCTTTCTTATCCTGAATAGCTAAGCAGTACACACAAATTCAGTAAGAAGTTAACTCATTTGCTCAAATCCAGGTGTGCAACCTTGATAACTTTTAAGACTTGTAGACTTCAACTCCCAGAATTCCCCAGCCACCCCTGCTGTAATCATTTGGTCTTGCTATGGCAATAAGTTTTGTATTTCATTTTTCAAAAAAAGTTCAGTAAAGTAGTTATTAGTTAAGGATAGAATAAATATTAGCCTTATCGTCAGATTGACTTTCATATTGATTTTAGTTATTTTGTCGTCGCCTATTTTTACTTGTAGAACCTGTGTGGTGCCCATATCTTCCTCCTCCAAGAGCGTCCTTAGCTTTAAAGGCTTTCTTACTTCACCAACCTTGGGATAATAAGTATTCTTTGGATATATCATTCATGTAAGACTTACTTTTATTATGGGAGCCTTTGGTTTTAGAAAATAGCAACATGTTTTATAAAGGTTGGGTTCAGTGGCTGAGCTGTTTAAGATCAGCATCTGGCTTTTCAACCAGAAGGTTGATAGTTCAAGACCTAAGTACTTTGTGATGGAGTGAGATCCTGTTACTTGCCCCAGTTCCTGCCAGCCTAGCATGTAAATGCAAGTAGATAAATGGGTACCACTTTTGTGGAAAGGTTACAGCATTCTGTGTGCCTTCCTTGTATAGTCATATGAGCCACATAACCACAGAAGCATCTTTTAGAGAATGCTTGCTCTTTAGCTATAATTCAGAGATGAGCAATTCCCCCTCGATTTGGACACGGTTGGTACAGGAAATCTTTACCTTTTTATGTAAAGGTAAAAAGGTTCCCCTTGTGAGTCTGACCTGAATTGAGCTTAGAAACAGCATGTAAATTTAATTTCAGATAGTCAGGATTTGACTACTGTGGTAATTAGGAGTTGAAACAACTTGAGGTCACATAAGCAATCAATATTTGACTCTTAAACCTTTATTCATTTGTTTTTCAGCAATTATCCAGAAAATGAAAATATTAAAAATATGTTGCAAGATCAGTTATATTCATTGTCCAAGTAAGCATATTTTAGTTTCTTATATTATATCTTGCATGTAGATAATGGATTGATAAAAGTATATTTGCTTGCTTTTATTATACTATCAAGCTGCATTAGGTTATTATTTTCCAACAGTTTGATTCAGTAATTTGACATATTTATTAAAGTAGCTTTCTTTGTTTCCAGCATCAGTTTTTCTTGGATAAATATTAATACATGTAGTCATACTGATGCGCTTGATATATTATTTCTCATTTTGTTCAGCAGATATGTAACATATTTATAACAATATTTAAAAATATTGTAATATCTATGATGCCATTATATAATCACATCTAATCAGAATTTGATAACAATTGTTAAGGCAATACTTTGATGAAATTAATGTACTATGGGTTTGTGCCTTTAGCAAAAATTGTTGCTAATTCACATTTATGAATTTCAGGCTATTGAACATGAATTTTTTGCCTTTCTATTGCTAGTAAAAGACTAGAAAAATATTTCCATAGAAAAGTCAAGATTCTTTACAATATGTAAACATTTGGCTATACACTATTATTTCATATCAGCTAGGCCAAATTGTCCTATATGGTTACACAGTTGATACAAGTTCTTCTATAATTATAGTTATTCATTTATAACATTGTAAGTCATTAATTGAACAGTGTGTATAATTGCGTTTCTGTGTCTGTAATGTTTATAGCTATGCCTAGGATATGTAAAAATAACTTCCTTTTTGCGCAGACATTTTTAAAGATGCAATAGGGTTGGTGCAATAGTACAATACTTTTATCTTCACTAGTATGTAAAGTTAGTAAGGTACAGTTCAGTTGTATTTTTTATTTATTGTTTTCATTCTGTTAAAATGAATGTGAATAGTTTGCTTCTCAAGAAAGAGCTGTTCGTTTTTGTTCTTTTTGAAACTGTCTTTGGTAAAAGGGGAGGAACTCAGAATATATGCCTGAAATGGTTTAACTTTTTACAGTGATGTCAAGAAACTTTTGCTTGATCCAGAGTTCACTCTTTTGCAGCGATGCTTATTAGTTTCAAGGTAATATAACATTTCCTAAATAACCTCAACAAGTTTATTTCAATAATAGTTCTTATATAATGCTAAACCTGAATATCTTCTGTTTCAGAATTGGTACACTATTTATGTTTAACAGTGTAGATCAACCAGGATTAGATACAATTAGTGCCGCATTAATTTTTGTACAGAAATGAAAAAAGTAAGGAAAATTTCATTAGGATAATATATTGGTTTGTTTAGTTATAATTATTTACTTCAAACATTGTAAAATTAAGTGTGATAGCTATTGTGACAGAAATGTTTCCCATTTATCCTATTAATTCTGAGATAATATTGGTTAACAATCCAGTATTTTTTACTGTTGCAGATGGATAGGCAAATTATAACATTTATGGGATATTGCTTTTTTGGTATCTGTGAAGTACCTTGGCTGGATTTCTGCAGAATGCTCAATCAATTGCACAGGTTTTTGGAACAGCATGTTGCAGAAACCCAGTCTTAGTATCTAGTGTAAGCCTATCCATGACACTAAACCAGTGGTGGGTTTCAAAAAAAATTCGAACCTACTCTTGGGTGTGGCCTCCTTTGTGGGAGTGGCTTCCTGGCCATGTGACCTTGTGGGAGTGGCTTGCTGGCCATGTGTTTTCTCTCTCTCTCTCTCTCTCTCTCTCTCTCTCTCTCTCCCTCTCCCCCTCTCCCTCTCTTTCCTTCCTTCCTTTTGTCTCTCTGTCCCTTTTTCCTTTTTCCTTTCATCTCTCACTTTTTCTTTTTTCTTTTTTTCTTTATTTCTTTTCCTTCTCTGTCTGTGTGAGTCTGTGTGTGTGTGTCACTGGTGGGTTTCAAAAACATTTGGAACCTCTTCTGTACGTGTGGCCTGCTTTCTGGTGGAACCTCTTCTAACCGGTTCGGTAGATTTGACGAACCGGTTCTACCGAACTGGTGCGAACAGGTAGGAACCCACCTCTGCACTAAACCATAAGATGTCTAGGGAGATTCTTAGTCGTCCAGATCATGGTTGTCCCAAAAGTGTTTTTCCAAAAGGCAACTGGACTTCGTTTTTGCTTTTTCCTTGAAGGTGTTTCGCTTCTCAACCAAGGAGCTTCTTCAGCTCTGACTTGAAGAAGCTTGTAGGATGAGAAGTGAAACATCTTCAAGGAAAGAAAAAGCACTTTTGGGATAAACCATGAGATGGCTTATTTTGGGGGGGAGGAGAAGTAAAGTATATTAATACATTTCCTTAAACTGGATTTAAGATCTTGCATGTTGGATGAACTTTATCTTAAATGGGCAACTGAGTTTAGAAGAGCAGTAGGAATAGCACTTAGAGTGATATACCGCTTCACAGTGCTTTACAGCCCTCTCTAACCAGTTTTACAGAGTCAGCATATTGCCCCCGACAATCTGGGTCTAAGTAATGTGTCTGTGATACTATTTCATAATAATGCACAACTTTAGGAATAATACCTTTAGCACAGTGTTTCCCAAATTTCCAGCTGTTTCTTACAGCTTCCGTAGCTCCCTCTCTGCATGTTAAATAGTCAAAGATGACGGGAGTTGTAGCCTTCAGTTATTCCAGCTTAAGTTATACCATCAAGAATTATATTTAGTCCTGAATCTTCCTGCTTTCGGGAAAACAGTTCAGAAGATTTTTTCCAGTCAAGCCTTTTTATATTACATCCCTGATAATTTTAGTATTTTTCCTGATTATCAATTTTATTTTAGATTTAGATTTAGATTTAAAGTTTATTTATATGCCGCCCTTTTCCCTGGGGGGACTCAGGGCAGCTTACAACTTAAAAAGGGGGGGGGGGAGACAAACTTTTAACATATAAGACAAATACATAATTAAAACACAACATTCATACTATTCGGGCGGGTTGTAGTCTTAACCCCAGGCCTGACGGGATAGCCAAGTTCTGAGGGCTGTGCGGAAGGTCTGGAGGGTGGTGAGGGTACGAATTTCCACGGGGAAATCGTTCCACAGGGTCAGAGCTGCCACCGAGAAGGCTCTCCTCCGCGTAGTTGCCAGTCGACATTGACCGGCAGATGAGACTCGAAGGAGGCCTAACCGGTGAGATCTAATAGGTCATGTGGAGGTAATTGGCAGTAGGCGGTCTCTCAAGTATCCAGATCCACTACCATGGAGGGCTTTATGGGTGGCAAGTAGCACCTTGAAGTGCACCCGGAGATCGACAGGTAGCCAGTGCAGCTCGCGGAGGATAGGTGTTATGTGGGTGAAACGAGGTGCACCCACAATCGCTCGTGCGGCCGCATTCTGGACTAGCTGAAGTCGCCGAATACTCTTCAAGGGCAGCCCCATGTAGAGCACATGTACTGTATTAATTATATTAGGCTCCTAAGAATAGAGAGTCTGTAAATAAATTTAAAGAAATAAAATACATCTGAGAGTGCAGCCTGGTTTCACAGGATGTGCGAATGCACTCATTGATTTTAAATCTGAACTATTAATGTAGGTTTTTATTTTTCGCAGGCTGTACGGGGATGAATCTGAACTACACTTTTGGACTGTTGCTGCCCATTATTTGCATACTTATTCCGGCAACAAATCATTAACCATAAAGGCAGAAGATGGATTTGCTTCTCAAGAAAACTGGATCAGTCCGCTAGATATATGTTATGATATTCTCTGTGAAAATTCCTATTTCCAGGTATTGCTTGATTTTTAAAATTTTAAGCCCATTCAAATCCACAGAACATTCTTTAATAATTTTCACAAGCCTGTTCTCGTTTCTTTTGAAGATTTCGGAAGTACACACACAATGGTTTTGTTTTTTTTTGATTGAGTAGAACTCATATATCTGCATATATGTTAGTATCACTTGTTGCAATTTGTACAAGGCAAGAATCATTTAATTTATAGAAGTTCTGTCTGGTAGAAGTGTAGAAAATTTTATACTTACATTCATACAATCCTACAACCTGAGGCTCAATTAACCTTTTTTTGTGCACAATCATTATCCTAATTAGTTTGGTTATGATGAATTTCTGAAGCTTATAGAGAGCTTTTCTATCACAATTTCTGTTTACTAACATGTAAGGAAGTAAACAATTGTGTCACTTCAGTGATAAGCAGAAATCTTCATTTTTCTTCATAGCAAAATGAGGCAGCATAATTGGATTATTAATACTATTGACCATTAAGGAAAGCTTACTCTTAGCATTTTTATCATATGCATATTCTACTTGTACCCACATCCAGTTTTAACTCTTTTTCAAAAGCTTTTCATATGTTTTTATCACCATATTTTTAGCTACATACACGAATATGGAACTGAAACATCAATGTAAACTGAACCAAATTTACTTTTGATTTTATCCTGTATCAAAAAAATGTATTTTTTTCTATGATTCCTGCAGAAATTCCAGCTTGAAAGAGTCAACATTCAAGAAGTTAAAAGATCAAATTATGATCACACAAGGAAATGCACAGATCAACTCTTGCTTTTGGGCCAGGTTGGTGCTGCCAATTGGACTTTTTGTGTTCATTTAATCTTCTTTGATACATGTATTTTATTAGAAATATAGGAGAATATTAAGCAATATTGGCGATATGTTCTGTCCCCCCCTTCACGGCTCGTTAACAAACGCAGGCAAATAACTTAAAAGGACTTTTCTTTATCAGTTTTCAGTTCAAACTGGCTTCGAGCCCAGAAATAACATAAACATAAATCTCCGATAAGAATTCAAAACAAAAGCTGTTACAAACGCTGCCCTTCTTCCACCGTCTCCACGGATCAGTTTTACATGAAACATCAAACCACTTGTCCAAGTGTAACAGGCATAAATCACGATTGGTAATCAAACAATATTTTACCAAACACGGAACACACGAAGGAACGACGTTGACTCCAG